GCACAGGATTTGGTTCAAAAGTAAAACAATAGCAAATAAATATTATTCAAAGTGTAAATAAGTTGTATTAACCGTTCACTTTCAGCTCGGCTGTGTGATTGACACGACCCGCTCGATTCTCGGCTATGCAGGAGTAGTTGCCCGCATGCTTGGCCGAGACTGCCTCGATGGTCAGCTCGTTGATGCGCTTGCCACGCTTGGTGGTCAATATCTCTAGATAGTCCTCGAAGGGCTTATCATTTAACGTCCAGGTAATGTTAACGGGCAAATCACCGCCCGATATGGTGCACTGCACATTGACAAATTCGCCATAGCTCATGGACTCGTCACCAAAGGAGAAGGGATTAATGCGAGGCACAGCTAGATAGAAGTGCAACAAAGGTCAACATTTTGTCAGCTCAAAACACTAATTTCAACAGCACACAGCACACTGTATATAGCATATATATTGATGAAGAAGCACACGCCAAATAACGACAATAGCAACAACTACAATTGGGTTCCTCGGTGTACCGAAGTGCATATACCCTTGCTTAGACTCTTGAAAGGGTATAACTGAGGGTATAACTAGCTCTCTATGTACACTTTGTGTGGCCACGCACCGTTGACAATCAGCTCAGCTGAGTGCTCAGCGCGACCTGCTGAATTGCTGGCAATGCACGTGTAATTGCCCGCGTGCTTCGCCTCGATGGCATCGATCATGAGATTGTTGATGCGGCCACGTTTCTCAGTGAATATCTCCAGATCGGGCAACAGCGGATGGCGATTCAGTGTCCAGATGACCGAAACGGGCAGATCACCGCCCGATATGGTGCAATGCACCGAGACAGGCTCGCCAAAATTCATGGCATCCGTGCCGAAGGAGAAGGGCGTTATCTTGGGCGGCACTGGGCATGAATGGGCGTGACAAAAATATAAAAACAAATCAGAAAAGTACAAAATAAATAAGAAATAAAAAAAATCAATTTTCGCATATTTCGTCAGTCGACAAACCGTTCACAATCAAGCGCGCCGAGTGGGCGGTCAAGCCCGCCTTGTTCTGGGCATGGCATGAGTAGAGTCCGGCATGGTGAGCGGCCACAGATTCGATGGACAGCACATTGATGCGTTTGCCAATGCGCGAAAAGGAGATGTCATGGTAGCTATCAATGGTGGCATTGTTGAGCAGCCACGTGACATTCATGGGCAGATCTCCGCCTAGAATGGTGCACTGCACCGAGGCAGGCTCCCCATAATTCAATGGCTCCTCGCCAAAGTCAAAGGGCGCGATCTTGGGTGAGACTTAACAAGGGCAAGTTGCAAGAGTATAGCATAGTTGTAGATAGTCAGATTGATAAGTACAGATATATATATATATGTATAGGTAGGGTGAACATTGTCAGAACGCGTTAGCTGGATTAGTATCGCATGAAACTCTAATGCAACGGAGTTAGCTCATTAAACGTAACCATAACCCCGCGTAGCTAAAACACTTTGAATACCATTAACAGTCAGATTGACGCCGTAGCTGGTCGTGCCCGCCGCATTGCTGGCGATGCAGGTGTAGGTGCCCGTGTGGGCTGGACTGGCGCTTGGTATGGACAGCATGCTCGTCTTGCTGCTAATGCGATTCGTGCGCATCTGTGGCTGCAGCAGATCGTAGCTGGCGCTGGCGCTGCGCTCGAAGCTCCAGTGCACACGTAGAGGACGATCGCCCTTTTGAATTTGACAAAACAGGTCAATGGAGTCGCCCGTATTGATGACATCCTCGTACGCAAAGGGCACAATCTGCGGCAGTACTGGGTGCAAGGTGTGTGTAAGTGTGTAAAGTGTTAGGCGGGAGTCACAAAACCAAAATGAATTTCAAAATGAAAGATGCTGCTCTACTCTCTCTAGATACTGTTGGCTAACCGTTGACAAACAACTCCGTCGTGTAGCTAATGTTGCCGGCACTATTGCTGGCCACGCAGCTGTAGTTGCCCGAGTGGACCGCCTTGACGGTCTCCACAGTCAGAAGGCTAATCCGTTCACCTATTTTGCTAGCCATGACGCCCAGGTGTGGAAACAGAGGCAAGTCGTTGTGGGTCCAGCGTATTCGCAAGGGCAGATCACCTTTGGACACATGGCAGGTCAACTGGATGCTGTCGCCCTCGTTAGCATCGTTGTCAAAGCTAAAGGGATGTATGCTAGGCAGCACTGCAGAGACGGGTGGGGATCGGGTATGGACATGGCAAACCGAACACAAGAATAACCAAAAAGAAAACCAAATGTGAGAAAATAGTTTTGTCTAGAGTCACCATTGACTTTCAGCTCGGCGCTGTAGCTGCTCTCGCCAGCCGGATTGCTAGCCCGACAGGTGTAGATGCCCCGATGCTCAGCGGATATATAGTCAATGTTAAGAGTGCTGGATTTGCTGGACATGCGGCCGATGACCACATCCCAGTCGCCGCTGATCAGTGTCTGATTGTTCAGCGCCCAGCTAATGTTGATGGGCAGATCACCCTTAATAACGGTGCATTGAATGCCCATGGTTTCGCCAGAGTTGGAGGCCTCGTCGCCAAAGTCAAAGGGTCGAATTTGTGGGGGAACTGTGGGATGGTTTTCATTGGGATTTCAAAATCAAAATAAACCAAAAACATTTACTACTCATACGTATAGTGATCATTATGTTCTCTAGATCAAACCATTGACAACTAGTTCAGCTGTTTGCTCAGCGCTGCCCGCTGAATTGCTGGCAATGCACTTAAACAGCCCGCGATGATGATCGTTAATGGAATCGATGCTCAATGAGCTAAGTTTCGGTGACATTTTTATAATTCGTATGCCCACGTTCTCGTTCGTTATGGGCTGTCCATTTAGGGTCCAGTGCAGCTGCAGCGGTGTGTCGCCCTTGAACACCATGCACTGGACGGCAGTGCTGTCGCCATAGTTCGAAGGCTCATCACCAAAAACAAAGGGCATAACTTGGGGAGGTACTGGACGTATGGAAGAAAAACACTCGAGACTAGAGTAAATTTATTTATTAACAGCTATTCAGCTACAATTCAACGCACTTTTCTTGGTAATTGCGACATGAAATCAATTAAAAACTGGAAAACACACTAACTGCCCAATTCAGCACATTTTTTCCTAATAATACTAACACAGAAGTATTGAAAAAGTGAACACAAGATTTGTTTGGACAATTCAGCTTCAGTTCAGCACATTTTTACTTCATAATTATGACATTAAACAATTCAGCTACAATTCAGCACATTTTTTCTAACAATACTAACAACGAAGTATTGAAAAAGTGAACACAAAATTTGTTTGGACAATTCAGCTACAATTCAGCACATTTTTTTCCTAATAATACTAGCAAAGAAGTATTGAAAAACTGAACACAAGATTTGTCTGGACAATTCAGTTTCAATTCAGCACATTTTTACTTCATAATTATGACATTAAACAATTCAGCTACAATTCAGCACATTTTTTCTAACAATACTAACAACGAAGTATTGAAAAAGTGAACACAAAATTTGTTTGGACAATTCAGCTTCAATTCAGCAAAGTTTTTTCTAATAATTTTGACAAACTACCTGCAATGTGTTTCTTTGCCAGATAATTCAGCAGTCTTTGATGCTTTTGAGACAGCAGTAAATTAAGTTTACAGCCTTAAGCAGTGCTCCAACATGAATTTTTTATCTCAGCAATTAACATATAGTGCTACTTAGGAATAGAGTTCAGTACGTTTTACTCACTAAGCGTATCTGAGCAAACAAACCGTTAACTTGCAATTCAGCAACATATTCGCTGCTGCCCGCTGCATTGCTGGCTGTGCACTTGTAAATACCGCGATGAAATGCATTCAGCGAATCGATATTCAGCAAACTCGTTCGATCATTCCAACGCCCCAAACTAAAACCGTTCTGGCCATCAACAATGGGCTCAGAGTTAAGGAACCAACGTATTTCCAGGGGCGCATCGCCCTTGGGCACCAAACAATTCGCGCTGGCAATGTCGCCCACATCGGCCGCTGATTCGCCAAAGCTAAAGGGACGCACCTGAGGCGGCACTTGAAGGTGGTTTAAGAGGTTTAAGATTAAATTAATGAAATTAGAACAAGCTAAAAACTAAATTGAAATGCGTATGAATAAAATGAATTATGATCCTCATAAATCCCACAAACCATTCACATGTAATTCAGCGCTGTATTCAGCGCTGCCCGCCTTGTTGGTGGCTATGCATTTGTATACTCCTCGATGTCTAGCCTCCAGAGCGTCAATACTTAATGAGCTGGTGCGTGGATTTAGGCGTGATAGAGAGAAGCCATGCTCGCCCGTTATGATGGGCGCCGAGTTCAAGGTCCAACGTATTTCCATGGGCAAATCGCCCTTTGGTACCATACAGAATATGCCAGCTATTTCGCCAGTATTGGCGGGCTCAGCACCAAAGTCAAAGGGTTGTATTTGCGGAGGCACTTTTTAGAGGGTTGGGGAATCGGGTCAACAAATTATGATAAATATCAAAAATAAAGAGTTAAACTAGGAATTAACTAGATCATATACTAAGAACTTGTTCTATTGACGCGACGAACCATTCACTTCTAGTATAGCAACATATTCAGCATAACCCGCTGAATTGTTCGCTATGCACTTATAGCTTCCACGATGAGCAGCCTCCAAGGAGTCGACGTTCAATGAGCTCGTGCGCTTATTGAGTCGCACTATCGTAAATCCCAGTTCACCATTGACTATCAGCGCTGAATTTATAGTCCAAAATATATCTAGAGGCAAGTCTCCCTTGGGCACCACGCAGGTAACACTGGCTACCTCGCCACGATTGAGCGGCTCATCTCCAAAGGAAAATTGACTTATTTGTGGAGCAACTGCATTAGAATGAAATTTTGACACTTTTTACTTGAATTCAGCTGGCTAAACCCATACAGCACACACGCCTCCGATCACCGAATAAACCAGATAAATGTTAGATGGACAGAGTAGATAGCAATAGTAGCGAGAAGCTGTTCAAGCACGAACCATTAACTTGCAATTCAGCGCTGTATTTGGCATGACCCGCCTGGTTCTGGGCTATGCAGCTGTAGACCCCACGATGCTTGGCCTCGAGCATATCCACGCTGAGGTAACTGGTGCGACTATTCAGTTTAATGACCATAAAGCCATTCACTCCTGTCTCAATGGTCTCATCATTCAGAGTCCAAAATATTTCCAAGGGCAAATCACCCTTGAGCACGACGCAATTAATGCTCAGAACATCGCCCATGTTGAATACCTCGCTGCCAAAGCTAAAGGGCACCACATGTGGCGGCACTGTATGAATAATGTGTGTAAATTATAAATAAATAAATCAAAATAATCAACTGAATTCATATTTCGTAAGGCTGGAATCAGTTAGTGCAGATACCATTGACTTTAAGCTCGGAGGTTGTGAAACTTGATCCTGCCTTATTTTCGGCAATGCACTTGAATGTGCCCCGATGATATTGCTCAACGGCGGCTATGTTAAGGACACTGGTCTTTGGGGACAGCTTCAGTATGGTAATGCCCTCCTCGCCGTTGATAATGGGTCGCGAGTTGAGCGTCCATTTGATGGTGATGGGCACGTCGCCCTTTTGCACCATGCACTGAACGCCCGCGTTTTCGCCCGTGTTGACGGGATCGTCGCCGAACGAGAAAGGGGCTATTGACGGTGGCACTGACGGAAACAAAATGGGAAATGGGATATCAACATAAACTCAACATGAACTCAAGCATAAATCTGGCGCTACTTCGAAAGGGAAAGCTATAGTTAACCGTTGACAGCCAGCAGGGCTGATTGCCGCGTTTCTCCGGCATTGTTGGTGGCCACGCAGGAGTAGTTGCCCGCGTGGCGAGCGCGCACGGACTCGATGCTCAGCACACTGATGCGTTGGCTATTGCGGGTGACAACGACGCCATCGTTGGTGAAGACCCGCCCGCCGTTCTTGGTCCAAGCAATGTCTAACGGCAGATCGCCCTTGTTGACGGTGCAATAGGCCGAGACCATGTCCAATTCGTTGATGCTCTCTTCTCCAAAGTCGAAGGGCATTACTTGAGGCAGTACTGTGGGGTTTGGGTGGGATTTATGTTCAAGTAAAAGCAAACAAAAGCAACGAAAGTAGAACTAAAGCAACATGGATTAACCATTGACAGCCAGCATCGCCGATTGCCTAGTAGCCCCTGCGTTATTCGTGGCCACGCAGGAGTAGTTGCCCGCGTGTCGAGCTCGCACTGATTCGATGCTAAGGACACTCAGGCGCTGGCTGTTCCGATTGACCAGCAGCCCGTCGTTCGTATAGAGCCGTCCGCCGTTCTTCGTCCAATAGATGTCCACGGGCAGGTCGCCCTTGTTGACGGTGCACGACACCGACACCATGTCCAGCTCATTGATGCTCTCATCGCCAAAGTCGAAGGGGACTATCTGAGGCAAAACTGGGAGGGGTTGTTCGGAAATTAAAAGCAAAAGCAAAGCAATGCAAAGTGAAAACTGAATAAGCGAAAACTAAATAAAATCTCTTAACCATTGACGGCCAGCATGGCCCAGTGTTTGCTCTCCCCAGCATTGTTTGTGGCCACGCAGGAGTAGTTGCCGGCATGGCGAGCGCGCACGGACTCGATGCTCAAGACGCTCATGCGCGTGCTGGTTTTGGTAACCACAATGCCATCGTTGGTATAGACTCGACCGCCGTTCTTAGTCCAGGCGACGTCGATGGGCAAATCGCCCTTGTTGACCGTACAGGAGGCGGACACCATGTCCAGCTCATTGACGCTCTCCTCACCGAACTCAAAGGGCACTATCTGAGGCAGTACTTAGATTGTTTGGAAGGTTTAACAAATTAAAACAATTGCTCTACAATCAATGTACAACTACTAAGCGAATCAAGAGAGCGAAAAACTAAGAGAACAGAGAGAGAGAGAGAGAGAGAGAGAGAGAGAGGAGCATCACCATTGACGCGCAGCTCGGCCGTGTGGTAGACAATGCCAGCGGCATTCCGAGCTACACAGGTGTAGTTGGCCCTGTGGCGCGCGTGCACCGACTCAATGCTCAGCATGCTGATGCGCTGCGTTGTCTTGGTGATCAAGATGCCATCGTTGGCCATTAGACGTGCCGCGCCAAGCTTCGGTTCCGGCGCTGTAGTCCAATACACCTCGAGTGGCGTGTCGCCCTTGTTGACCGTACACGTAGCCGAGACCATATCGCTCATATTAATGGCCTCCTCGCCAAAGTCAAAGGGCACTATTTGCGGCGGCACTGAGATTGAACAAATCATTGAAGGGAGTGAAAGGAGCGACCAGCGTTGCAGTTTATCTCCTGGCTGAAAATTCAACCCGCCCGAAATGGTAAAAATGGGCGCACAGCTTTCTGGAGGGAAAGCTGACGCTATAATCGAACTAATCAACTTACCCATAACTTGCACTTCCAGTGAACCACGTGCCGAGTAACCCTCTTGATTCTTTGCCACGCACGTATAAGTTGCCTGATCCGAATTGCGCTCCACGTTCTCAATGATCAGTGTGCCATTGGGGAAGACTTTCTGCTTGCGATTGATGGGCAGTGGGCGATTATCTAGGGGGTAATGTAACCAAATTAACATAGAATCAATTCCACCCTAGTCCAATGGCTATCTATTACTTACCACGCTCCCACACGATAGAATCGATGGGATAACCAGCTACAGGGCAAGTGACCATTAGAGTTTCACCAGCGACGATTGCCTTCTTCTCCATTTGACGGATATAGGGCAGGCCGTAGACATTAAGTTTAGCCGAATGCTCGGCCACGCCCACTTTCGATTTAGCTATGCACTTGTACAGGCCGCCATCGTTGGCATGCACGGAGGTAATATTCAAGTAGGAGACGACATCGCCGTTGACTGTTACGTATTGGCCCACTTGGTAGCGGTCGTTGTTCGCGATCTTCTTGCCATCCAGTTCCCAGGAGATTTCGGGTGTGGGATTGCCGCCAGCTACGCACTTCAGGAATACACTTGGTCCGGGTTCCATGGTCTCCTCCTGGAAGGCCTGGCGTATGACGGGTGGGTCGAAACGGCCACCAAGCTTCAGCTCGGCGCTGGCCTCTGCAGACTCTTGATCGTTGCGCACAAAACATTGATACATGCCCTTGTCCTCCTTCTTAACTGATTCGATGCGCAGCACGGGATCGCTGTGGCCCATGGCCTTGCCGTCTTTCATCCAGCTGACAGTCTTGATCGGGTTGCCGGTGTACTGGCAGGTGAACACAGCGGGGCGCCCGAAGTCGATGGTCTGAGTGGGTGGATCAATTTTGGCTGACAGAGGCGCGGTCACAGTGAGCACAGTCTCGACGCTCTCGCCACCCACGGAATTGTTGACGACACACAAATATTTGCCCGAATCCTCGACGACAGCGTCCTTGATGATGAGTGTGCCCGAAACCTGTTTGACGCGATCGTTCAGCACCACAGCCTGCTTACGAGTGGTTCCCTCAATGAATTTATACCATCTGCAACGAGAGAGGCAGGTCAGTGAAGGCAGTTCAAGGGCTTCAAGTTGGCAGAGGAGAGCGGACACAAAACGAGCAAATGGCATAGGGAAAAGTCTCAAAGGTAACAGCAGTCACAGCGTGGATCTGGGGCTAATACTCATACTTACTTGAACCTGGTTTTATTCTGATTATACTTACCCTAACTGTGAGCTGCGTTCGAATCATTTGCTTGCTTTGTGAGCCGCTTAGGGTTAAGGGCAAGAGTTCCTAAGCAAAACGACCTAGCCGAAATTTAGCTACCTATAAACTGGCACTGGGTAACCCTGCCCCGGACAATGGCCCACAAACGTATCACTCAAGGGCACCTCATTGATTTCAATGCTCTTGGTGGCTATACGCGGCTTAACATGACCAATGGGTTCTGCAAATGGCAACATCGAATATTAAATCACACGCAAACATGCGTATGAACTGCCTGAACAATCTGGAATCTGTAAGTTTTCTAATGTCAAATGTACCTAAAAGCAGGCATGGGATATGCTTGTCCCTGGCATAGTATGGAAAAACTTAGCCCGATCTTGCGCGTCAGCTCCTGCAGGCGATCACCCGATATGGTGGGAGCCACGCTACCAATAGGCTCTGAAATAAAATCAATTTGAGTTGCCAAAAGACTCAACAATCTACAACTGCCTGAATATAGCTAGAGATCTAGGCATATTACCTAAATGCTGGTGTTGGATATGATTGACCTAGGCACAGAATCGCCAAGTCATTGGCAGCTGCGTTCGTAATTTCTTGTAAACGACCTCCGGAAATTTTAGGTGCCACACTGCCAACAGGTTCTGCAAAACCATGAAGCATATGTTCTATATAGTTATATGTTCTACTAGTAGAAAACTGCCCGACTTTAGTTAACTAGCTAAACTAACCGTATAATTGGCACTGGAAACGCCTGGGCCTGACAGAGCAGAGCAAAACTTGTTGAAATCTCCTTGACAAACGTAAAGCTTTTCGACTCGCCCGAGAAGCTAGGCACTCTGGCGCCAATGGGCTCTATAATACATAGTAGAAATTAACAAAATTAGCTGAAAACTGACTGAAGCTCTTAGAACTACCTTATCAAGGGCACTGGATATGCCTGAGCCTGACACAGCAATGCAAAACTCTGCCCAAAGTGCCGCACAAATGTATAACTTTTCATATCGGAAGCGAATGTGGGGCCTTTGGCGCTGACGGGTTCTAGAAGGAAGAGAAAAGCCAGCTAGTTGACAATCTAAAATCGGTCTAATAAGTCACGAAAACTGTCTGAACGTTTACCTAAAGTAGGGCACTGGATATGCCTGAGCCTGGCAGAGCAATACAATGTCGCCCGAGCTAGGCCCCAGTAAGCTAGAGATTTTCGAAGAGCTTGCAAAGGTGGGAGCCTTGGCACCGACAGGTTCTGAAAATTGCATTAAGCGATATACAGAGGTCAAGTAGGGAAAGCTGTTCTAGATTGAAAACTGCCTGATAGTAGAGGAAAGTCTTATAAGGGAGCTACCTCATGGCGGGCACAGGGTAGGCTTGAGCCTGGCAAAGCAATGCAAAACTTTGGCCCACGTCGCGAGTATAGGAAAATGAATTGGAATCTGTTGAGAAGGTTGGCGCTCTGGCTCCAATGGGTTCTGTGAATTCAATTTAAATAATTTATCAAGCTACGAAAACTGCCTGAACTTGAGTTAAACTGCAGAGTAGAGTCTACCTCTGTAGGGGCACTGGATATGCCTGAGCCTGGCAGAGCAATGCAAAACTTTGACCCACAGCTCGTGCGTAAGAAAAGGAATTATAGTCCGTCGAAAAGGTGGGTGCTCTGGAGCCAATGGGTTCTAAAAATCATAAATAAATAACTATTAAATACTGCAGAAAACTGCCTCGTTCAACTTGCCTAATTATGGGCACAGGAAAGGCTTGTGCCTGACACAATAAGGCGAAGCTAGCATTGATGGAACGCTCGAAAATGCTGCCCTTGGAGTCGCTCGAAAAGGTTGGCGCCTTTGCGCCGACGGGCTCTAAAAACAAAGTAAATTGCAAATTCAACTATTTCTATAGAGCTAATAGAACCAGTCGACAAGCGTTAGTCCAACCACAGCTACTCAGCCTACCTAAAGATTGGCACTGGATACGCCTGAGCCTCACACGTCAGGGCCAAGCTGCTCTGCTGCGGCGCGTTTATGGTGAACGTGGAGGCCACGCTGGGAAAACTGGGCGCCTTGAAGCCAACAGGTTCTTAAAATATATGCATTAAATGTATTTAAGCATAAACTAACTGACTGAATGTTGACTCGGAACTATGTACTAGACTTGCATTACCTGAAGACAGGAACTGGAAATGCCTGCGCCTGGCAGAGCATTGCGAAACTGAAGCCCAATGGAACCAGCTGCTGAAATGTTTGTACGCCCGCAGGCACAGCGGGTGCCTTTGAACCAATGGGCTCTGAGAAAATGTAAGTATTTCGAAAAAGGTCAGAGATTTTAACAGCTTAACAAATTGCGGAAACTGCCTGAATAAAAAGAGAAATTTGAATTTGGCGCCCTTTGCCTCCATTGAAAACTCAAATAAAACTCACTCGTAAGAGGTAGCAAACTGTTGCCAAGAAAAACTTTAACTTTGACCTTTTAGTGAACGTGACCTGCTGACACAGACTGCGAAAGTCAGGGCAACCCCCAAGTACCTTGAACTTCGCCGACACAAAGTTATAGAAGAAAGGGAAAGGGAAAGGGCACAGAAAAAAGACAAAGCCGGCAATAACTGGCGCACTCAATGCATATTTTATTGGGGTCAATGTTGAGCTTAAGGTTACCAAAAACTTAACAACTGCTGTGGGGCATGCGCAGTGTATGCGTGCGGGCGCAACAAGTGGCGGGGAAAGAGTCGAATTGTAAACAACAAGCGAAAGTTGACCTAAAAACGTGCGTTCATTCAAGAAACCGGTGTGCGAGCGAGATGCATGCAGTCCACACGATACACACGAGCAACGGCGTGCGCATGTAGGGGAAGTTTGTTTTGGGAAATTTCGTGTGGAGCACGCGCATGCGCGCTGCGCAAAGAGAGCGCAAGAGAGCGAACAGCTGTGATGTGCGTTTGTTTACAAACAGACACGCACACAGTCGCAATTAAAGCAAGCGTGTAGCAGGGGCTGCATTTGCTTGCCTTTTGCGGCGCTCTTCTATGAATTTGCCGTTGCCGACGGTTTATGGTTTGTTTATTTAGCTTACTTTTTATGAGTGTGTTTGCGCCTATTTTGGTAGTGCTTGTGCTCGCCTGTGTATGGTTTCTACATGCGTGTGCGCGTGTGTGTCTGTGTGTTTGTGTTTTTATTGGTGTTTGTTCACGTTGGCGCGCACATTTTATGAATGAACAGTGATTGGCCCCTCGCTTGGGGTTAAAGTTCACACGTCTCATACATTATTAAAAGCACGCATTATGCCACGAATGGCTTCTGACTAACCTGCTGATAGGCACAGGAAATGCCTGCGCCGGGCATAACAGAACTATGTCTATGCCGCGCTGCCGCTCAATCCCTGACCACTTCGTATCAATGGAGAGCGTGGGACCCTTTGCCGAAACGGGTTCTATTTGTATATATCGATTGTTATGTTATCTTGCAAAATTGCGTTTCTGACTAGAATGTCGGGTTGGGGTAGATTATAGCTGTAGAATAAGCTGTTACCGAAAACTTGGCGCCGGATAGCCCTGGGCTGGACAAAGCAGCGAAATATCTGCGCCCGCATGCAGCTCAAAGGGTTTACTCATTATCGAGGGTATGCGCGGGGCCGTGCTCGAAACAGGCTCTGGAAGTCAAATATATACAGAACTTATATTTGTCTAGCTAAGCTAATGTTTTCCTATTTGTCGGTCTAACCTGAATGCTGGCACTGGATAAGCTTGAGCGGGACAAAATAACGCCAAGTTCGTGGACAACATGCGCTCGATCCACGAACGCTTGATATCATTGGATAGCAAAGTGGGCGCCTTGCCGCCAACGGGCTCTAAGTAGAGGCAAAGTAAAGTCAATGTACGAATTGAAACTGAATGTTGAGTTTCGGCTTACCGAAAACTGGGTGCTGGATAACCCTGAGCAGGACAAAGCAGTGAAATCGTGTGAGCCTGGCGCAGTTCGATTGGTTTCTGCACCAGCTCTGGTGTTCTAGGGGCTGTGCTCGAAATGGGCTCTGTAAAATGTACGTCGAAGTAGTGAAGTGTCAATTACTACCAGCCTGATGTTGGTTTAGAATACTTTATATATATCAGCTAACCTAAAGCTAGGCGACGGATAGCCTTGAGCTGGACACAGAATTGCAGTGGCAAAATGGAATTCAACTGTATTCGGCTTATACGTCAATGCATTTATCTTGGGCGGGCTACTGGCAATGGGCTCTGAAAATGGCATCGAAAGCTTGGTAAATTCTGATAACTTAATTTACTGCCAGAATGTTGGTTGGAGTGAAATGATGATCTTACCGAAAACTAGGCGCGGGATAGCCCTGAGCGGGGCACAATATGGAAATGCTGGTGCGAACAGCCACAACTAAAGGACGAGACTGCAGTGGCGGCACTTTGGGCGCAGTGCTCGACACAGGCTCTGAAATATTACATTAAACTAGTAACACAGCTAAGATAAACCAACTACCTGAATGTTGAGTACTCTTTGAGCGTAAGGCTTTACCTAAATATGGGCACCGGATAGCCCTGAGCAGGACATAGTAGGGATAAGGTGCTGGAGCCAGCATAGGTTTTCATATCAAATTTGGCCAGCGAGACAACTTTGGGCGCAGCGCTGCTAATGGGCTCTGGGAGAGACAACAAGTTACATTTAGGATTACTAAGTAACTAGAATAAAAGACTATATAAACTGCCTGAATGTGTAGGCACTGCTAGAACCTTACCGAAAGGCGGGCACTGGATAGCCCTGAGCTGGACAAACTATGGCCACGTTTGCCTGTACGGAAACATATTCAAGATTGGTTTTCTGTATCAGAGCAACACGAGGAGCTGCGCCGCTAATGGGCTCTGAAAATTAGGGTAAACAATTACTCTATCGCAGTATACCTCAATGAAAACTGTCTGAATGCCTAAGGAGCTTGTAGTTTACCTAAAGAATGGAACTGGATAGGCCTGAGCGGGACAGAGTAAAGTAAAGCTGCCTCCCAGTGAAACGTCCACATTGCGAGTCTTGTCGCCAGAGGTAAGTCGTGGACCCACTGTGCCCACAGGCTCTACGGATATGCAAATAACGTTAGCAGAGATTGTAGAAGGTTTTCAAAAAATTAAGGGAAACTGCCTGAAGTTTTTGAACGGATTTGTGTTTACCTAAAAAATGGCATTGGATAAGCTTGGCCGGGGCAGAAGAGCGTAAAACTGGCGCCCAAATGGGCTTCGGCATTTTTGAGACGATTTTCAACACTGATCTTAGGTGCTACGCTGCCAACGGGCTCTAAGAAAACACAAATATTAAAAGAAATTATTATAAAAATCTAAAAACCCATGTAAAATGCCTGAATGTGGCTAGGACAGAGCTACACATGGAGTTTACCTAAAGCCCGGTACTGGATACGATTGGGCGGGGCAAAAGAGCGTAAAGGTCGAGCTGAGCTGAGCTGCCGCATCTTTAAGACGTTCACCAACACTTATTTTGGGCCCAACAGAGCCAACGGGTTCTGAGAAAAAAGGGTTTTAGATAAGAAAATACCTTCTTAGGTACTACTTGAAAACTGCCTTTAGAATGAATGCTAAGCTCTAGGCCTTACCTATAGGCTGGCACTGGATAGGACTGGGCTGGACAAAAGATGCTCAGATCTCCCTGCACGGGCACCTCCGCATCCTTGCGCCGCTCCCCGATGCTAATTTTGGGCGGCACGCTGCCGACGGGCTCTTAAATTGAACAACTCATTACAAAGTCAAGGAAAAACAACAACAGAACAACAGACTAAGTGGCGTACTTTGAAAACTGCGCAGAATTTGGGGCTCATAGAGATTCGAAGGGAGGCAACTAAGCCGAAGCTCAAGCCATCACAACAATTGCGTGACATTGTTTTGACCAGGCTGTTATGAGTGAATGGGTTTAATCATGCGACACTGAGGGCAGGGCTGGCTTATGGCTAATTACAATTTGCTGCCAATGATGCTTGACGGCTTTACTCAGTTATAATTGGAAAAGTTTTACCTATAGAAGGGCACCGGATAGGCCTGAGCAGGACAGAAGATGGCAACGGTCTGGCCAAGCCGTATGCTGTCGCGTGTCAGGCCATCCTGTTTGTTGACACGTGGTGCCACGCTGCCCACCGGCTCTGCAGGAATTGAGTTCACAATTGAATGGAAAGAGCATTGACTAACTGAACTGCAAACGGCAAAGGATACTCGACTCATTTACCTATAGGCAGGCACAGGATAAGACTGTGCCGGACATTGTATAGCAATAGCTTGAGCTGTGCTTATGCGATCATGATTGAATTCATCCTTGCGATTCACTCGAGGCGCAACGCTGCCAATTGGCTCTGCAAATTGTTGTAGACCTTAGATATATTAACTACAGCTAGAGAACAGCCTGAATGTGTCATAGAAGGAGTGCTCGTGGCTTACCTATAAGCTGGCACGGGATAAGACTGAGCTGGACATAACAGCGCCATAGATCTATTGGCTTTCGCCAGAAAGATTCCCAATTTATCTTTAATTTCAACTTTGGGCGCAACGCTGCCCACGGGCTCTGCAAAGACGCGACAATAAGCTAACCGTATAAATCTATTTTCAACTCAAAAACTGCCTCAATATGGGACTAGAGTATTACCTAAATGCGGGCATTGGATAGGACTGAGCCGGACAAAGTAGAGCTAAGCTATTATCGGCTTTGGCCAAAAAGATGCCTGCTTTATCCTTAATTTCTACTTTTGGCGCCACGGAGCCAACAGGTTCTGCAAATAGTTCAAGAAGTATAAGAGCGAAGCCTGCTAGAAACGGCTTTGGATCAAAGGTACTCGACTACGTCAATTACCTAAACGCTGGCATCGGATAGCCCTGAGCTGGGCAGACCAGGCTTAAGGAGTTCGTCGATCTGATTATGGATATTTTCACTTTATCATTTATATCAACTTTGGGCGCCACTGAGCCAAAGGGTTCTAAAAAGGCGTTTGATTTAACAAATTGACAGACTTTGCAGGAAACTGCCTGAATGTTTGCTTGGCTCACCTAAACGTGGGCATTGGATAGCTTTGCGCTGGGCAGAGCATGCTCAATGATGCATTCAAGGACTTTGAAGAGAACTTCAGCTTGTCATTCATGTCCACCTTGGGCGGCACAGAGCCTATGGGTTCTGCAAAGGGTTTCAATTGCCGCTTAAATGCTAGAAACTGCCTGGAAGCCTTACCTAAATGCTGGCATAGGATAACCTTGCGCCGGACAAATTAAGCTCAAAGGCTGAGCGAGGCTTATAACAGAAATGGCAACTTTATCTTTCAAATCAACTTTGGGCGCCACAGTACCAATTGGTTCTAAAACAACAGAAGCAGCATATGAATTGAATGAGTATAGTAAAGTGGTTTAGCTGGCTAAATATGTTGAGTACTTTGATATACCTAAAGGCGGGCATGGGATAGCCTTGAGCTTTGCAAAACAGATTCAAAGAAGTATTTGATCTTTTTATGGCAAAGTCCATTTTGTCATGCATATCAACTTTAGGTGCCACGCTGCCGACGGGCTCTGAAAGCGGATCTTAGATTAGGAAAACTGCCTGAGGGTCATACCTGTAAGCGGGCATAGGATACGACTGGGCTGGACAAAGCAAGCTTAAGGCTTAAGAAAACTGTCTGAATATGGGCGTCTTACCGCGCAGCGGGCGTCGGGTAGGACTGTGCAGGACAAAGCAAGCTGAGGGATATGCCCTTTGGCTTATCTACCCATTTTATGCGATCATTAGCATCGACTTTGGGTGCCACGCTGCCCACGGGCTCTGCAATGATCAAGAAGCTTAACAAAATAGCCTAGAGAGAAAGAGAGCGCGCTGCCTGAATGCTGAGCGGGTCTTACCTAAACACAGGAACCGGATACGATTGAGCAGGACAAACTATGGCTAGACTATGATTCAGAACTACGCGAGCATAGTTAATCTCGTCTTTTATATCAACTTTGGGGGCGACACTGCCCACGGGTTCTATGGGTAGAAAATATAGGTTGAGTAGAGCCTGAATGTTAGTTTGACAGATTACCTAAATGCGGGCATGGGATACGATTGAGCTGGGCAAATGAGCGCCTTGGAGAGGCCAAGTTGAGTGCGCGCAAAAGTAAACTCATCTCGTGTATCAACTTTGGGCGCCACAGAGCCAACGGGTTCTATAAGCGTAAATTTCGAATACTTTCTTAATGAATTAAAGCAAATTGAATCACTGAATGTTGACAGCGGGCTGCTCAGACTAACCTAACAATGGGCACGGGATAAGCCTGGCCAGGACATTGCATGTCATAGTCTTCAGTCAACTTGACTTGCAGAACTTGAAACTTGTCGTGCAGACTGCTAATCTTTGGTGGCACAGATCCTATGGGCTCTACAAGGAAATATAGAATAAATATTAAATGCAAACTAACCGAACTATGGGTACAGGGTATGCTTGACCAGGACATTGCATAGCATAATCCTCGCTCAGCTTCACTTGAACAAACTGAAACTTGTCGTGCAGATTTGTTATCTTTGGTGGCACGGAGCCAATGGGTTCTAATTAAAAAAATTATATAAATTATAATAGCATTACTGAACCTCAGGAAACTAGAAAACCCGAAATGTTGGTTGGGACTAACCGAACAGCTGGCACTGGATAGGCCTGGCAAGGACACTGCATGGCAAAATTGTAGCCCAACTTCACTTGCATCAATTGAAATTTATCATTAATGTTTAGAATCTTGGGTGGTACGGCGCCAATGGGTTCTGTAATTTCACAAGAGTTAAAGCCTTGCCCTAAAAATGCCAAATTGAAAGCAGCCTGAAGTTGAGTGGGTAGCGAGTTACCTGTTCGTGGGCACGGGAAAAGCTTGGCCCGGACACTGCATGGCATATTCAGAGCCCAAAAGCACTTCCATAGTGCGCACTCTCTCGAGTAGATTCAGCTTAGGTGGCACGGACGCAACAGGTTCTAGAGCGTTTAAATGCTGACGCTTGAGCTCGGCTTTACAACTTGATCTACTACTTGAATGTTGAGTTCGAGTATGCGGGCAAAAACCTACCTATAGGCGGGTATGGGATACGATTGTGCAGGGCACTTGAGACTTAAGCTCTTTGCCACAAAGGCACGCGCATTGGCCACTTCGTCGTCTATGCTAACTTTGGGCGGCACACTGCCAATGGGTTCTGAAAGGAACACAAAATTGTGACAGGTTTCAAGTTGGCTAATCACAAAAGCTGCCTGAATGCTTAATGAAGTCGAGTCCTACCTATAGGCCGGAATGGGATACGATTGAGCTGGGCATTTCAGGCTGAATCGGGCACCCTGAACAGTCCTAGTATTGGACAGTTCATCAGCTATGCCCACCTTGGGCGGCACACTGCCAATTGGCTCTGTAAGCATAACAAATGCAAGACATTGGCTCAGATTATTTGAAAACTGCCTGGAACCCAGAGTCTAACCATATAAACAATTTAATTATATAATATGGCCTGCTCCTTGGTCAACTGCTCGTTAATTGGGCAATTTGCTGAATAGCTGCGAGACATGCCACAGGAGTTATGGCTGTACCTGAAGGCAGGCATAGGATATGATTGGGCCGGGCAGAGTAGGGCAAATCCGGCCTGCTGGGCTATCTCGCGTGTCTGCAGCTTGTCCTGTACGTTTATTTTGGGCTTGACGGAGCCAACGGGTTCTACAATATAAAATTCGAATTCCTTTTTAATGCCCGAACATGCACTGAAAACTGTCTGTCTGCTGTTGGCTTGGTCGAGGCAACGACTTGGGACCCACCTAAAGGCTGGCGTTGGATACGATTGCGCCAGGCAGAGCAGGGAGTAACTGTTATTTAGCTCCACGTCTATGAACTGATGTTTGTCTTGTGGATTGACTTTAGGACGAACGCTGCCAACGGGCTCTAGAAAGCGCAGCCAACTTTAGTATTAAATATCAAATCTACGATTGACTCAACTGACTGAATGTTGGTCTTGTCGACTATTCTTACTTGAAAACTGGCATTGGATATGACTGCACCGGACATTGTATGTTGAAACTGGTGCCAAACTGAACCTGCATCATTCTGAAGCGTTCAAGAAAGTTCAGCTTGGGCGCCACGCTGCCAACGGGCTCTGCAAAGGTTTATATGGCATGAGCGAAACTCTCAGCTGAGCTGTTGGGCTGGTACTCAAAATGTAGCATTACCTATAAGCTGGCTGTGGGTAGCCTTGAGCCGGACATAGAAGACTGAGGCTATGCAGATTCTTTACTTTAACATGCTTCAGATCATCCGCATTCGATATTTTGGGACTGACACTGCCAATGGGCTCTGTAATTGAAGCCAACTTATTGAAGCTAAGCTTTTGAAAACTGCCCTGGCTTGGTTGGGGTCAGGTATCAAGTGCATATTACCTATAGAATGGCTGTGGATAGGCCTGAGCGGGACACAACAAGCTCAGATCTTGAGCACTTTTGCCCTTAATATGATTATAGTCGTCGCCTGTATTGATTTTGGGACTCACACTGCCCACAGGCTCTGCAAAGGTAAGGTGAGGTGGTATGTGAAGCGGAAAACTGCCAGAATTTTGAAACAGGGAAAACTCTGCTAGACGTCTTACCTAAAGAAAGGCACTGGAAACGCCTGAGCGGGGCAGAGCAAAGTAATGCTATTTGAGAGCTGAACTTTTGTGGTGCGTGAATCATCGCCAGAAGTGAGTCTTGGACCAACGCTGCCAACAGGCTCTTTAAGAAACCAATACGAAAAGTTAGGCTATAATTTCTATGCCTCATTAAGGCCTATGTTGGGATATGGCGCATTACCTAAAGTAGGGCACTGGATAGGCTTGAGCGGGGCACATGAGTGAAACGGCTTGATTTAGTGGAACTCGTGTGAGTGTTATGTGCTCCTGATTGCCATTGCCATTCAGCTGGGGACTAACGCTGCCAACGGGCTCTGGATTAAAAGTTTCGAAACATGTAAATAATAATATTTTGAGTGCCTAAATGTTGGGCTAGTTTACCTATAGAAGGGCACCGGATAGGCTTGAGCTGGGCACATAAGCGCAGCACTCTGAGCCAGTGAAACTTTCGGGATTCGAATGGCATCATCGCCAGCTGTCACTTTTGGACTGACACTGCCAACAGGCTCTTTAGAAGCGGAATAATAAGAGTTTCGATTTAAAAATGGCAATTTCTATATTACTAAAACCTAGATGTTGGGCTAGTTTACCTAAAAAATGGCACTGGATATGCCTGGGCAGGACACAGCAGCGTGGCGCTCTGTTCCAAGTGCACTTTGAGTATGCGAGACTCGTCGCCACTCGTGAGCCGTGGTCCCACACTACCCACGGGCTCTAGAAATGAAATTGACTAGTTATTCAATGACTTCAACTGGACTGCCCTCATAGGTTGGGATAAGTCTTACCTAAAGAAAGGCACCGGATACGATTGTGCTGGGCAGAGCAAAGTGATGGTTCGCTCGGCCGCGTATTGCACAACTTTAATATCATTGCCAGAGAGCAGACGAGGACCAACGCTGGCAACAGGTTCTTAAAAAGGGAAAGCTCTAAGTTATAGCTGCAGACTGAGGAAAACTTTCCAAAGTTGGGTCTAACTTAAGAAGATGTCATTGGCTGGCCCACCTAAATAATGGCGCTGGGAATGCCTGAGCGGGACACAGCAAGGTGAGACTGTTGTTGGCCGCGCTCGTAAAGCTGCTACTAGTAAGTGTGGTTGGAAACTTGGGCGAAACCCTGCCGACTGGTTCTGTGAATGAAGCGAAACGGAAAATGAAATGAAGTTTTAGAAGTTTGCATTGCGTTAAAAATATGTGACTGGAACTATATATACATATGTATAAATATAGTTGTTGTTTGGCACTTACCTTGGGCGCATTTCGTAAAAAGTCGAAAGTGAAAATATTCAATTCAAATGCCCCGGTAAGGCAAGCTCAAAACGGACCACAACTGACATTTAATTTAACTCTCATTTAGCTTTATTTCAAGCTCATAGCATTGTCGAGTACCCTATCCCAACATTCAGGCAGTTTTCAATTTAGTACTAAGCGAGCAACAATTTTTTGAATTTAATTTTATTTTAATATTGAAATATATAAATTTTAAAAATATGAAAATTATTTTGTTCCTTCACAAAGAAAGAGATTTTAAGCAAAAAATCTTTTTGATTGAATATGGGAACGTAGCAATTTTTATCAAAATATTGTTGCTATTAATATATTTATTACCGAGCATTTAAGTGATCAGTAATTCGTAAATAAAACAAGGAAAAAGTTGTGAAATATATAGAAAAAAATAATATTCAAATCAAATTTTTCCTTGTTTTAACTTTCATATTTGGAATATTTTTAACTGTTTCAAATTTTAATTAAAATGCATAAATAACAATTTATATTTTATTTTTTAAAATTTAGATCAAATAATTTAGTTAATATTCCAAATATTTTGCTTAAAATCAACAGACCCTAAATTTATAGCATTTTAGCAAAATAATTTAAGGTCTGATAGATTTCGTTTTGGCCATGATAATTTTATGCAATTTTTGTATATACTTTAAAAAATATATAAAATATTTTTTAATATTTTTTAATATTTTTTTTAAATACATTTCAAATTGTTTTTTTTTTTTCTGTGTGGAAATAGTTAAACTATTTATTTATTTTGTTGTATATATTTGCATAAAATTTTCTTAGCAATTGTGAGCCTCAGTTATCAATATTTATGACTAAATATATTTTAAAAATTTTTAGAAAAAAACAAAATTAGAAAATGGTTTGAATGTTATTGTAAGATTTAATATTATTATAAATTTGTTATATGTTGATTTAAATAAATTAAAAAAATTAATTTCGATTTCTACGATTCATTTAAACTTATTAATTAATGTATTTCCATAAATATTTTATATATTTATATATAAAATAAGCTTTTAACTATTTATATTTTGACATTATAAATAAAATTTTGAAAGTTTTTAAGAATTTAAGCTTCTAAACATAATATTCAATATGATTTCACAATGAAAATTATTGTTTTAAAAATATTGACAATTTGACAAAAATTGACAAATATTTCCATTCAATTAAAATTTATATTTTAATATACTTTCTTTCATTTACTTTTTAGATTTATAATCTCTTCGTTTGATAACTGAAGCTCTTATAGTAATTTCTTTAACAGTAACAAATTGGGCAACAAGGCCAACTTACCTGTAATAACCAAACGTCCTTTGGTCGCACTGAGACGCGTCTCTCCAGTCAGACGATGCTTGGTGCGGCACTGATAGCTCTTGTATCCATCTTCAGGTCCAACTTCACGAATGTGTAGCTCACCGGAGGGCAGCACCAGATATTTGCCGTCTAGTTGTTGATTGATTAGTTGGAAAAAATATATTAGTGATGCTGCGCCTAAGCTCAACTTAAGCTAACATACAACAAAGCTACTTTTTATACAACTGAGAAAAAAATAGCTCAATTAAAATTTAATTTTAATTGAACTTTTTTTTGCTTCACAATTGAAAGGCACATGACAGCTTTTTATATACACAAAAACTTTATTCATATATAATTTAGTATTCGCTTTGAACTCAATGCCAATTCAAAATGCTATTCAACTGTTAGTAACATGCAATGTGACTTTCTCAATGCGAATTGCTTTAATCTTAGTCTTTAGTCTCTTTACATTTGCTTTTGCTGAAGTAAGTCTGAATATATTTGTTTTATATTGGGACAAGAATTTTAATAAATATTAACTTTATATTGAGTTCGAAAAGAGTCAAATGAGTTTATCTTAATTTCAGTCTTACAGCAACAATGGGCAATAATTACAAATCTTTTACTTAGAACTAACTATACACCATACAAGCAATCTTTTATTTATTGATAAGAAATTGTAGAAAATTTATTTTAAAATATTTATTAATTAGAAGAAGATATTTTGATGATGCATTTCCTATTCTAGAAAGTATTTATATTTTTTATTATTTTTATTTTATTTTTATTTATTTCAAGAATATATAGCACAAAATGTCAATTTTCTGTTTTTTAATTTCTTTTTCCACAATTTTTCTCACTTGTCAAAAAGCTTAAGTATTTTCTACAATTTCTTTGCAATATTCATACATATATAATATTCATGCAGTAACAAAAATGCGAATAGTTTTGGCTGTGAATGTGGATTATCAATAAATATGATGATATTTTGTTAAAGAGCCTTTTAAGGCTACGTTATGTATTTTGTATATGGTATATGTTTATACAGACTGTACAAACTGACATGATATAGTTATTAGCATTTTTGTTCATACATATTTACAGTACAACTATTTACACTAGGCTACAAAACAACGCTACTTTCAACTACATGAAGGGGTAGGTTCATGTGAATGGGTTTTCGGTAAGTCAGGAGCGACTTATGGAGTGGGATGGGATTGTAAAAAATAAAAAGTAGAGTTTCGGAGGTTGGGGCAAAAATAAAAATAAAGAAATAGAATTTGAAAGTAAAGCAAAAGATATCGAATGCCTAACAGCGCAGCAGTTAAGGACCTGTTAGAGAAAGGCAAGGACCAAGGCACTGAATGATTGATCAAGAAGCTGGCATTGAAATTGATATTGGACGGGATGAGTTGTTTGTTTTCGTTGAGTCTGTGTGTGTGGCACTAGAAGCAAGGCTAACTCTTAGAGAACTTAATGCTAGAGGTTTACCGCTAGCTGTGACATCGGCCTGCGGATATATCTCACGCTCCTCGTCCTCCACCCACGAATCGACCACAATAAAGTCGGCAACAAAACTGGGTATATGACATTTAAGAATGGCGCTATTTCCGCGCAGAATGGACTCATCCATGACATTGACGCTGTAAGATTGCGGCACAACTATACAAAAGGGAGACGGAAAGATAGATGGGCTTCCATGAGAAACGAGTTAAACCAAGGATAAATCATAAGGTGATTAATGATTGACGGGGGCCCCCTTCATGTTTCTACTGTGGCACTAAGTTAAACGAGTAAATTATGTACCCGTTATGTTCTTGGTGTAGACACCGCCCTCGGTATCGATCCAATCGGTAATATCGATGTGATCCGCCACGAACGAGGGCGTCTGACACTTGAATATAGCTGCATTGCCCTTGATCACATACTCATCGTATACTTGCGACTCAAAGAACTGTTTGACCACTGAAATGGCAATGTTTGATATCGGAACATGATGCGAAAAAGCAAAGATAATATATAGGAGGAGAGTTTAAAGTTGGGGATAGAATTTGGATCTGACTAGGCATTAGTCTAACTTAATCAATTAAATGCAGTTAACGCTATACCCATCGATTCATCGGGCAGAGGTCGAACGATTTCGACGCCTTCCTCATCTAGCCAAGCCTCAACATCTATGAAATCAGCCACAAACGAGGGCACCAGACACTTGAGCGTGGCTGAATTGCCACGCAGCACAAATTCATCGATGACGCGTGTCTGATAAAACTGATGCACAACTGGTAGAGAAACAAAGAGTTTCGGGCGCATAAAAAATGATTAAAGAAATGGTGGAAAAAAATGAATTACGGGGGAAACTTTATGGAATTGTGGGCGACCCAAGGAGAGAGTATCTAATAGGCCAAAAACTTTAATTGGAAATGTTATCGATGGTACCCGTCTCTTGGTCACTGTTGGGATAGTAATTGCGACCCTCTGAGTCCAGCCAGAGATCGACGAAAACAAAGTCAGCCACATACGAGGGTATCTCACACTTCATGACAACCGAATTGCCACGAATAACATATTCATTGTCAGCTTCCGACTCGTAGGACTGAATGACAACTGAGTTTAAAGAAAATTAAAGATCAAGTTTAAAGAAAATGGAGTGAGAATCGGGAGAGATTATTTGTAAGGCTAATCTAAGAACTAAGACTTATAGACACATATGTTTTGACGGCACTGTACCATAGGCGCCAGTTGAGTTATCTCGCCACAGCTCGACGCCCTGATCGTCCACCCAGGCCTCAATCTGCACAAAGTCGGCGACAAAGGAGGGAATCTTACACTTGACTACCGCCGCGTTGCCTTTAATGACATACTCATTCTCAGCCTCGGTTATATAGAACTGTGAGACGACTGCGTGAAACAGTTGGTAAATGAAACAGAAGCAAATTAATATGTAAAGTTGAGGATTTGTTGGGGATGGTTGGTTTTTTAACTAAGCTTAACTAAGAGCACAAATCAAGTCGAGGCACACCGTAATTATCGGAGAAAGACAAGACATTGCCCTCCTCATCAATCCACGACTCGACACGCACAAAATCAGCGACAAACGATGGAATGGAACACTTTAAAACGGCCGCATTGCCTTTAATGACATACTCGGTCATAATTTCGGCCTCATAGAACTGATTGACCACTGCAAATGTGTTGAAACAAGCGGGAAATAAGAAAATTATAAATAAGCTGGAAGATGTGTGAAGGAGGTTTACCCAATATTGAGTTAGTAGAAGCTAAACTAGTTTTCTCGTTTGTGCTTATATTATTTTAGTAGTACCATAATTGTCTGAGTAGCGCAGTTCGTTGCCCTCCTCATCGATCCAAGACTCAACCCGAACAAAATCGGCCACAAACGATGGAATGGAACACTTAAGTACAGCCGCATTGCCCTTGATCACATACTCCATTAAAATATCGGCGCCATAAAACTGATTAACAACTGGACAACAAAACGGAAATGAAACATTCATAAAGGAAAGAGTATAGTAAGATCAGGAACAGGGAATTTGGAGTTTGGGAAGCTACTGCTTAGGCATACAATGCAGAAACCAAATGAGGCAACTACCAAAACTATCCTCTGGTATATACTCCGTGCCATCGCTAGCCACCCAGGCCTCAACGCGCAAAAAGTCTGCCACGAAACTTGGTATGGTGCATTTGAGAACAGCCGTATTCCCCTTGATAACATATTCCGAAACAACTTCGGCTTCGTAGTACTGATTAACGACTGCAAAAGGGGAAAGTATTATGAAGCGCCAGAGCAGAAAGAACACGAACTGTAGACGTTAAGAAAATGAAAACAAAATGATGGGTAAAGGGGAAAATTGGAAAATTGGAAAATTGAAATTCCTATATAGATGCTATATATAAACTATTAACTTAGATAGCTGAGCTAATTGTGTACCCATGCCCTGTTGCTGATCGTCGAGCGTGCCATAGAGCTGGCCCTCTTCGTCTTGCCAGGAAACCACCTGCACAAAGTCCGCCACAAACGATGGTATGGAACACTTGAGCACCGCCGAATTGCCTCGGATGACATACTCATTGTTAACCTCCGATTCGTAGAACTGCTGCACAACTGAAGTTTTCCAAGGGGTAAAGATGAAAATGATTTAATGAGAGCAGGAGAGGATAGGGGGCAGAGGTGGATAACACCTTGCGTGTTATGGGCGTGTGAAAGTTTGTCAGCAGCCTAATTGAATGCGTCTACTAGAGTTGGAGCCCTTTAAGAGACAACGACAACAGTGCGCTGAGCGCATTTAATGGACCTTAATGCGCTATTTGATGAGAGATGGGCACGTAAATATTTAGTTATGCGCCGGCCAACTTCCCTGAGAAAGTCTTTTCTTGCGCCAGAGAGGTTAATAATAGTTTAAGAACATGGCTCATAGACACGCACTGAGAGAACAGGCAACGAGATAGATAATATACATAAATACAAAATGAAATAAGTTAATGAAAACATAATTGGTGGGGTTGGTTGGGGAGCGGGGCTTACACAACTGTACAAATTGCTCTCGATATACAATAACCTGAAGTAGAAAATTTGTTGCTTAACAAACCATATTCAGTGCCCGGCAAAAAGTCCTCATTGTGGTCCGTGTGCCAGGACACAACACTAACAAAATCGGCCACAAACGAGGGTATCTCGCACTTGAGAACTGCTGCATTGCCGCGTATCACGTAAGCCTTATTTACATCGGTATCGTAGTATTGGGCAACGACTAAATAAAGCCATAAAGCAAAAGAAATTCAAACATAGATCATAAGCTAAGCAAAACTTAAATTAAAAGAGCATAAATCGATGTGGAATCGTAATAAGAGGAAAAACACTTCACGAAGCCCTGACGGTTGTTGGTTTCTGTTGACCTAACCAGTGTTGGTTAATGGAGTTAGCTTGTTGCTATTATACAACTGTGCGGCTCTTTGTTTTTACAGTTATTAGTGAAGCATTTTTTGGTGTGGATTGTTGTTGGCGTGACTAGTACTTAGTACTTAGTACTAGGTGTTGGTTAACGGTACTTTACACAAGTCTTCTGTGTGTATGTAAGAGAGATGGAGTCTTGTGTTGTGTGTTGTGTTGGGATATAGTTTGCAAAAGTAGTTAAAGTAGTGCTGTTTTGCAACACACACGCACAAACACTCATAGACAAAAGCACACACAGATACACACACACACACGACAGAGAGCGGGACTATCACACACCATATTCAGTGTCTGGATAAAAATTCTCTTCCTGATCGGTGTGCCAGGATATAACATTTACAAAATCGGCTACAAACGATGGTATATCACACTTCAATATGGCCGAATTGCCGCGTATGACAAACGCCTTGTGTATATCCTCTTCATAGTGTTGCGAAACGACTAAACATATAGAAGAAACAAAATAGAAAATAAGTTGGGGAAACATTTGATTTTGATTTGAAATGGAAAATAAATGAAGGTTTTCGTATTGATGCCATGGTCATGCGTTTTAGTACACCTAAACCTAAATAGCAAACATAGCTAGAGGCTAAGAGGCATTTGCTCGTCGCACCATATTCTGTGCCCGGAAAGTAGTTCTCCTCCTGATCGGTATGCCAGGAGACAACCTCAACGAAATCGGCCACGAATGATGGTATCAAGCACTTGATCACCGCCGAATTGCCTCGTATCACGTGCTCCTTGTTCACATCGGCCTCGTAGTATTGTGCGACAACTGTAAGTGATTTGTGAGGTATATGAGGTGCGTTTAGTTTAGTTCTACTGTGCTCTATGAAAGTCTCACGCTCGAAACACCTGTGCAACCTTGATGACTTATTTAAGCAGAGTTCCTGGAAACAATTTGCGCATTTCCTGTTTGTCGGAAAACAATTAAACGAGCCAATTAAGTGGAAAGTGCGAACTAAACATAATCACAACATAAAGCCCAGTCCAGGCTTCATATTAATTAAAGCCATTCTATCAACGCGAATTTGGAACTGTAGCCCGTGCTCGAGACATAATTCATGTTGAGCAACAACACGGCTGGCCATTATCATCGCTCTCCACTTTGAGCATATTTTTTGGCTCTAAACAAACATGATAAATTCACTTAGTTAATAGGAACTGAGCCGAGTCGTGCGGAGCCAAACGACAATAATAAGCCCAAGCCGGGCGGGGGAATTGTAGGAGAGGTTGGGTTAGGTCTCATAACGTGAGCTAATGGCTGACTAACACGTCGAGCGCTGAGTGAGGAAGCCCGTTGATGATGACGAAGCGTCGTGGTGCACGGTCGCCAGGTGGCGAACCTTTAGGGGTTGCTCACATGCTTGTAACATAATTAGGAAAAAGTCATTAACTTCGGCCTATTTAGCGCTGGTTTATGCAAGCGGAAGTAATGGATATATCCACAGCGCGTTGACTGACAGCACAGACAGCCCAGGTTTGGGCTCTTCTTCCAACACCTGAGCACATGAAGAGAGCTCCTGCTATGAACACTTTGGCTACAGCCTCACGACGTTACATGCGATGATGGGCCAAGTGCTGTGACACTTGCATCATCAACAGCAACAACAACATTTTAGCTTACACAACGATTAATTGCAGTGAAATTGCTTAGATGACCCGACCCGACAATTGCCCAAGCATATGGCACACCGGAGGCTCGCGCGACAGCAAACTTTAACCCAAAAAGTCAACAGACAACAATTGTTTTTTTTTTTTAACACCTGCAATTGTTGCCATTCGGCAAACGTTGAAAATTGCTTTAAAAAGTGGCTTCAAATTGAACAAAAAATTTTTTTTTCTTTTCTCTTTTTTATCCTAGGAAAATCTGGCATATATAGGCAAAAAATCTGGCACATCTGAACCAACGTTGTAACTGCTCTGAAAAATGCTGAAAAGGCTGAAAGAAATAGTTTTTGTTTGAGTGCAGTGCAAGCTTTTGGATGTTTTTTGTAAAAAGATATAAAAATTTCGCATCTGTAAAAATATTTTAAATCTTTCAATAATTAATTAAAATTTTCAAAATTACATTTTAAATAGAAAAGTAGAGGTCTTGTACGTATTGCTCTTCTGCATGGAGTATTTATTATAATTTTTATGCTAAGCATAAAACATAAAGAGATTTTTGAAATATTCAACGAAATTTAACTTCATATTTTATAATTTTAATAGTAAGTAGAAAGTAATTTGATATTTTGGAAGTTGGAAATCTTTTTCAATTAATAAACTCAAAGAAAAGTGATTCAATATCAAATTTGTTCAAACTCTGTGAACAATTTTAACCAACATCCATGACACTTGCTCTGCACTCAGTAGACTCCCGCGTGCTCTCTCTAGAACACCGACCACATACCTGCGCGCACATGCACATCCCGAGATATGATTGAGCCGAACTGATTGCGGGCCAGGCAGGCGTAAACCTGGGCATGAACTTCCTGACGATAGTCCTCGGCGCGGAAGGGCGGGAAGACCAGTTTGCCATCGGATGAGATCTGACGCAGGCCGGGCACATCTCCCACGGCGGTGCCATCGCTGCGTACCCAAATGATTTCTGGCATGGGATTGCCGCTAGATTTGCATTCAATTTCGGCGCCAGTGGAGTTAGAGAAGTCAATGCGGTTAGTCGGTTCCTTGAGAAAGACTGGTCCCTTTTGGTCAGCATCCGGTGGATTGGCAGCCAAAGTGCTGCCAATGTTGGCTATGGTAGAGAGACAGAAACAGATCGAGAATTAGTACAATACAATTAAAAGCTCGTAAAGCATTTTAAATATTCAGGGCAAATACAGCGGAAGTTGTGCCTAGATGCTCGCAGTCCGCATATACATATATTTGTCATCATATTTGTCAGTCATCAACTCAGCTCAATTGTCGACTGTTTGGCTTTTGTTCCGAAGCTCTCGTGCTGCGGGCTGCTGCTTGCTGGCTGCTCGCTGCTGCTCAACAATTGAATGCCACGGATCAGTGACTGTCCCCGCAGCATACTCAAACGAGAGTACGTACTGAAGTGTGTCGATGTTGCTCTGGCAACAACAAAAGCTTCAACTACTAAAAACTGGTCTTTCACTTCCTCTGCACACACACACACACACACACACACACTCACTCACTCACACACCCACAAAACGCAGACCTCAAACAAAAGGCAACGGGGCAAAAAATCGTTCGTTGACACTTTGGAGGCTGCTGCTGCTGCTGCTTCTGTACAACAAAAGCCACCAGAGATCAGCACATAGACCAACCAGGTCGAGGGACGAGTTGAGCTGCAGCTGATGACAAAGAACCATCCGCCTCCCCTGCTGGGATTGTCACTCCTGCATTGGCATCCAATTTCATACACAATTTTATGCACTGACATGTACCACGCCCCATGCCACAGCCCTTCCGCCCGCACAGGTGTTTGCAATCAAAATAAAACTATTCTTAATGCCAGGCACTGCGCTGCGAGAGTCTCGTCGGTCAGGTCAGCTTGTGTGAAAAATATGAATAGCAAAAGGTAAATAAATGTGCACGATTGCTTTTAAAATTTTTTTTAAATATTTGAGCATATTTTTTTTCCATTTTTCCCTCATACTTTGGTAGGTTTTCCAATCAATTTTCAGCCTTGAGTTCGAATTTTTAAAATATATAAAAAGATAATAAAGATATTTAGACCATAAATTTTTTTAGTTTTTAATTATATAATTTTTAATTTTAATTTATAGATTTTATTATTTTGAATTTTATGAAATATCTTATAGGCTTCTTAATTTTAATTTTAGTTTTTTTAATTTGTATTTATAATTTTAATATACATAATTTATAAATATATGTTATATTATTTATCATTTCAATTTAAACAATTTATAATTTAATTTATATAATATAATTATTTATATTTTTACCTTGCATTATTTATTATTTGAAGTTTAATAATTTCATTTATAAAATTTATAATTTTTCATTTTTTTTTTTTTTAATTTCAATATTTTTATATATTTTATAGTTTAATTTTTATTTCTATAGCTTAAATTTCCCATCTTTAAGTTTTAATATTTTATATTTAATTTTCCATCTTTAAGTTCTAATTTTTTATATTTAATTTTTAATTTATATAATTTATATATTTCATATAATTTTAAATTATAAGCAGAAAATTTGCTCTACTTTAAAACACTTTTCTAGCATTTTATTTAACTATGACGACTTTTTTGCATGTCCTTCAGCCACGCATTGTTGAATATTTTTATGGGTCATTTGGGCACTTGTCAGTAATTAATCATTTTAATTCTGGCATTAATTAATGTTCAGCTTGGCTTTCACAACAAACGGCAAGAATTGCAACAAATGAGCTGCGAGAGTAATTAAAAGTTGGGCGCGCTGTGGCTGACCAGTGTTGTAAAACAGTAAAACAACACTTATAGAGTAGAATGAATGTATGAATGTATATATACTATAATCAATTAGGGTGCGTTTTACCACATGCAGCGAACTCTTGTATTTGAAGTAACAAATTAATTAGCTGACGGCCATAAGCCCCACGAGCCCCACCCAGCTAGCCTGCTTGACGCTCACTCTAGGGTATATGAAATATTCCTATATGAGATGAGTAACAAATTGAGCCTGCAGTGTATTGCCTCTATTCCTCATTTCTACAACTCCAAGTCCAAAGTCTTGGGTCTTTGCACTCCCCCTTAACCATATTGAGCTATCAATTGTTTGTTCTGTTTAAGGCACCGCAAGCTTGTGTAGCCCAATAACGACAATTCCTTCACTTTATAATGCAGGAAATGCGCAGACGACGCGAGAAGAATTCGAAAAAACCAATTCCTTTTCGAATATTAAAATGCGCAGTCGCAGCCAGATGGCAGCCACATGAACGTCATAAAGCCTGTTGGCTAGTGGGCACGTGAAGCTCCATTATACATATAGACATTTATGAGCGATAAACATTTACATATTATTATATATACGTTCAGCAAAATGGCAAACAAAAGTTTTCGAAGCCGTGGCCTAGCGAATCAAATTATATATTTCAGCTGTTACACAGATGGTTTTCACTTTTTTTCTTCGAATTAAGGAAACGATTAGAGAGTATAATTTGGGCAGATAAGCACGAGGGGTTGGGAAAATATTTTCCATCATCAATCAGCGAGCAAGTGAGTCACGCAATTAGAGCTATTGAAGAATGGGCATAAGATATATATTTTTATATGCCAAATCAACATAAATAGTCGACTCAATTTAGGCATATCTCTCTGCCTGCTTACTATTCTGTCTTTAGTGTCTTTATGAGCTGCAGAAGAAATATAAATTCTATAGAAATCAGCGCAAGCATCCACATAGCTAGATATCTACATTTTTAGTTTTATTTCAACTATCTCGATAGTTCTTAAAGCTAGTCATAGATACGCAGAGTTCCAGGTAAGTTTTCTAATATTCTGATATTTGTTATGCCGATGCCGAATTGTTTATCTGAGAATTAGTAAAAGAATTTTGGTGACTCTAGCTCTAAGAACTTTGAATACTTTCCTCATGCATTTACTTATGTTTAAGGTCTCACAAGAGAATTTAAGCATAAATTGACTGGAGTTTCCCAGTTTCAAGAACAACAACTTTTCAGTTTGTTTTTAACATTTAAGATACTCCTCAAGTATTATAGCTTATGCATTTTCTACATTACTTTTATTTATATATATATATATATATATATATATACTTTATCTATCTTGCATATAAAGTTGATTCGTGGTAAAAATTTATGAATTACATTTAACAATAATTTTTATACACTAGACACAAATGGATCAACTTCATTTATGCTTAAACATGTCTCTGCCTTAATAATACTTCAGTTTACTGTGTGCTAATTGCAGGGTATCTGCTGGTGTAACACTGGCAATTGTAAGCATCTACTTCTAACACGTGTTTTCTTTCTTCTTTTTCTTCTTCTTTTTGCTGCACTGCCTTGCCTCGACCTTTTGGATGCGTAGTGTTTTTTTTAGGAAATCTTTTCGACAGGTGTTTTCGGCATGGACATATTAAAGTGGCTTGGTCAGTTTTTACCCTAACCTGAGGTTTTTGGCAAAAACGCCAAGCACAATAAACAAGCCAACGGAACCGGTTTTATGCTTTTTTCTGCCGGCAATCTCTTTCCAGATGCTGGTGACGCTAGCAGCTGCTCAACGAGTGCGATTTAGCTGAGAACAACTACAACAAGAAATAAACTCAACTTGATTGCGTCTCTCAATACACTACGCTTACAGAGTAGAGGTATAAATATAGATATATATTTGTATATATATACAACTTGGCTGTTGAGTGCAGTAAGTAACTGAATTCTGTGTGAGGCAAAATTATTAAATGCGTAGGGGATTGCAAGTGTCGTTGTGGGTGCGAAGGTCATGCAGCCCCTGTCACTCGAGTCTAGAATCAAGTACAGGCAGTATTGGCACTTGAATGCTGGCGCCACAGTAAATAAACAGTAGCGCGAACGTTCGAATTTAAATAAACAAATAAGAAGAAAAAGCATTTGTTTGGAAGTGTGCAGAAGTGACGCATAGCAAAAGAATTTCAAGTCGTAGCAAAGGCTTGACGCGAAAAATTGGAGTTTTGTTGCTAAAAAACAAAACAAATTGAAAGTTAATATTAAAACTGAATACGCGATATTCGATATAGATATTCCCGATTTCCATTCGAGTTACTTTCATTGCCTGCTAACGCCTTTTAGTCATACCTGTGTCTGTTGACGCCCCTGCAATATCCACACCCCCGTGTAATTAGCCCAGGCCCCGTTACACTTACAACAACGCCCAGCGCTGATGCGTGTCGTGAAAGGCAAGGAAATAAGAAATTAATAATTTCCTGTCAAACAAAAACAAAGCGCACAAGCTCAATAGGCACACGTATGACACGGACGCACCCCAAATAAGCGCGTTTCAACACGCACCTAGATCACAGGTCGCAGGTCACAGTTGACAGGTCAGTTTGTGGGCTGGCTTACCACACACAATCCATCGACAGACACGCAAACCAAACGATATTTTTATTAACAGCTAAACTAATAGAAATATTTATAGAGCTGTCTCATAGCCGAGTTGCCTTCTTACAGAACTCACTTTTATGGTCCATATATGATGTAGATATATATGTATATATATATGGTATATATATATGTTGTTTATTATAATATAAATATCAACTGTGCGCAGTTTATCTGCTCAAGTTCTGCTTCAAGAACCTCCCGATTCTATCGTCAGCAGTCTCATAGCTTAATATCATTGTATATATTTCCCAATCTATATATCTCATATCAAAGAAACACAAATTTCTTTGAATACCCTTGCTACACTTAAAAATAATTTCTAAAAGAAAGATATCAACATAAGTTGAAGCCCCAAAGCCCTTTAAAGCTGATTATTAAGTATAAATATATATTTAATCAGCTTTAAAGGGCTTTGGGGCTATATATATATATATATATATATGATATGAAGACGCCTTAACACTTATATTTTAACATATATATTATATTAGTTTATTGTACATTCCATATATGTAAACGGATGTATAGAGGGTTTACAGAAACTACTTCTCCTGTCCCGAATAGGTGTAGTCTCAGGCTATTCCTTCTTGGGTACGAATACCCACCATCTTCATAATGCACAATATTATGAAATTATTTGAATTTTAAATAAACTAATTTAAGAATAAATTAAGAAC